CTCGTTGAATGTTATAAATAAGCTTAGAGGTAAGGCATCTACAATACAACTGGTGTAAAAAAGGGTGATTGAGCTATTCAATAATTCAAATGATGCATCAATGTAACAAATTTTGCCCACTTGCATAATCTGTTTGTGTACTCTACTCATTAATCCTGTAATAACACAAAAGATAAATGTCTCCCAGTTTGAAAATTGTACTCCTGAAGAACTGCTCGACCACAATCAGAGGCATTATAATTCACAACTTCTTTATTCAGACATTGAAACATTGATGTTCCATTTTTTTTACCAAATTGGAAATTACGATAACAGGTAAAAGATTTTTAACATAATTGTAATCAGGGTTATGAGAATGATTAACAAGAATTTTAATAAGTACTTCATTTGAGGAAGTGGAAATATGAATTTCGTCTTGGTAAGTATATAATGTAGTTGCTAGAGAATGACTACAAGTCACTCTCATTATAGTGAACTCTCGATATAGTGAAGATCTTGATATAGTGAAGAATTTTTTTAAATTCATTGCCATTATTATTAACTCTTCACTCGATATAATAAAGTTTATATAGTATACTCTCGATATAAGCTATAGTGAAGAATTTTTTTCTCAGCCCGATCACTTCACTATAACGAGAGTAACTTGTATCATGAAATAGTTGCATATATTTTTCATATGTTTTTTCATAGACATGTCGAAAGCTAAGCACTTCAGCAGAATTGATGACATGATTATGTTTAAAAATAAGGTCTACTTCTAAAGGAAAATTAGTAAAAGTGTTATAATGTTCTAATCTTAAGTTTATAACCACTAAACAATTCATATTTCTGTTATGCTTTGTTTGTATTTGTTTTATTTCTGGATTTTCTTGTTTATTCTTAACCCTTTTACTGTGAATACAATGTTGTGATTCTCGAAAGATTACTTGTTTTTCCTTAACATTATATTCTTTTGTTTGTGGTATTGTTGATTTTGAATGCTCTTCAAAAGCAGCAAACCATGACTTGACATCATCTACATCAGCAACATTAACAAGTGCTTTAATTTCAAATTGAGGTATTTCAAATCCTTCTTCAGTTCAGTATGGAGACAACTCAGTGAATTGTTGTATCAGATGCTTATAGCTTGGTGATAAAACGTTTTGGAGGGATCCCAGCAGTAAATTCCATGTATATTTCTGAAAATAAATCAATAAATTTTCAATAAAGTATATATGTGCATGTAATATCTATTTAAATATCTTTACATTTCTTTCATGTGATCCAAAGTTTCTTGCATA